GGGGACACAGGGGACACTTTGAGACATGGGGCCTCGCCATGGCATGGAGCTCGGGCAGCTGGGGGAGCCTGAGGGACACCCAAAACAACCCCAAGGGATACCCAGAAATCCCCCAAGGGACATCCAGGATACTGGTGGGACACTAAGGGCACCCAGGGGACAACCAATTACACCCGGAGGAGCTGGGGGACATCTGTGACACTCAGATGCCAACTGTGGGACACCCAAAACATTCAGGGSATGCTTAAGTGAACCAAGGAAGACCAGAATTCCCAAAGGATCCCCGTGCCCCCCTCACCTGCGGCTGCTCTGCTGCTTCCTTCTCCAGCTGGGGTTGGTTCTCCAGATCCTGGAGCCTGGGGGCGAGGAGGGGGGACACACATGGGGTGAGCCCTCCAAACTGTGCCCGGGACAGAGTCCCCAAATGTCCCTGTGGGGAGGTGCCCACCTCTGCAGGCACATATCGATGCCCTGCTGCTCCAGCAGCTCCCGCTGTGCCAAATTCCAGTCCGGGGCTGGCCCGGGGGACACCCCCCGTTCCCGTTCCCGCCGCGCCTGCTCCGGGTGRGTGAAGCGGAACACGTGGTTCTTCCCCAAAATCAGGCGGTTTCCTGGTTGGGGGGGGTGTTGGAGGGGTCACAGGGAGTTTTTTGGGGGTTTAAGTGGGAAATGGGAGTTTTTCGGGGGTGTTATAATGGATTTGAGGGGAAATTTTGTGCGGGACACAGGTATTTTTGGAGGATTTGGGGTGCACACTGGGATTTTTGGRAGGGTTCAAGGAAAAGGTACAGGGATTTGGGAGGGATTTCAGGGAGACACACAGGGATCTGGGAGGGATTTGGGGTCCCTACCCGACTTGAGCACCACCGGCTCCGTCACCTGCTTCCCGTTGACGTAGGTCTCAGCCCCCTCACACGGCTCCAGGGTCACCACAACTTCGGRGAGGGACAATAAGGGGAAGGCAAATCACCTCCCTGCTAAACTGAGGTGGGAGAACCCCAAATCCCATCTCCAGCTTCTCCCAAATCCCYCCCTGACCCCACAACCCTCCCTCTSCCACCGGCATGGGGGGAGCGGTACCTGGGGAATGCTGCAGTAACCTGCTCCAGTGGCAGCRTTTGGGGGCAGGGGGGAGAAAAAGGAATTAAGGTGTGCCAGGATGGGGCAGGGCAAGGGGGGGCACCCCAAAACCTGGCGCCCCCCCCCAAGAATTGCATACCTTCCCCCGAGGGGTCGGGGCGGCTGCGAAACAGGCAGTGCTGCTCCCGGATGAACGGCCCTGACAGCTTGATGTCCACATCCACACTGCCCACCCTGGAAGAGAGGGGGGAAAGAGCAAATTAGAGGGGGTCCCGAGGGTCTGGAGGGGTCCTGAGGGGGTTTTGAAGGTGCCACAGCGCCGCACTGACCTGGTCACGCCGTCCTTGATGTGGTAGAGGAGGCACTCGGACATCAGTGGGTCCTCGTTGAGGTTCACCAAGTGTGGGGTCTTTAAGGGGAGGGGGGCACAAAAACAAAACCAGAGTCAGGATGGGGTATCCTTTGGGATGGGGGCCCCCCCACAGCACACTCTGACTTGCCTTTTTAGGGGAAAAGACGCCAACGGTGCCACCGTCCTCCCGCAGAGCCACCCCCATCTCAGCCAACAGCGCTTCCCTGGGGCACAGAGAATTTGGGGTGGGGGCAAGAGGGTGTGGAGGAGCCCAGAGGGTTTGGGAGATGGTCTGGGGGACTTTAGGAAATATTGGGGAGGGGTATGGGGGGCTATGGGGGCACTGAGGAGTGCGTAAGGTGGATTTGGGTTGACTGTGGTGGGGCTGTGGAGGGTTTGTAAGTTATTTAGGGGGGTCAGAAGGGGGTTTAGAGGGATTTTGGGGGGATAGGGGAAGGCTTTGGGGTTGTGCTGGTTGCTTAGGACCGCCCCTCACCGCTCCAGCCTCAGGGCCTCTGTCCGCCGCAGCTTCTCCTCCCACGTCTCATTGAGCTCTGCGATGATTTTCTCCGTCTCCTGTGAGGAGCAACGATTTTGGGGGGCTCCCCCAAAGTCTGGGGGAGGGGATCATGGATCTCCTGTGGAGCAGGGGAGGGGCTGGGSGTGTTTTGGGGTCACCTGCAGTCGCTCCATGGCCTCAGTGGGGCCCAGGGGGGACTCCAGCCCTGGAGCCCCGTTGAAGGTGGCGGGGGTTGTAGCAGGGGGGGCAGAGGGGGTGGTATCTTGGAGACCTGGTGGGAGATAGGGGGCTTGGTGGGGGAGGGTTTTGCCTCCTGCACCCCCATTTCAAGCCCTGACTGACCCCCAGCACCCCACATTGTCCCCTAAACATCCCATACCCCCAAACCCTGCCTTAGCTCTGCCCCCAAATCTACTCTGCAACCAAGCCCCCCTAAAAAATCATCTAAATCTGACCCCCACACCCCAAAAACCGTCTGAACTCTCTGTCCAGAACCCCAAATCCTGCCCAGCCACTCACCCTGGGCGCTCAGCAGCTCCCGCAGCCGCGTCACCTCCTCCCGCAGCTCCCGGATCAGCCGCGCGTTCGGGTCCTCGTTGATGACAGCGTGGCACCGGATCTGCTTCGTGCGGTCGGCGTAGCTGTAAAAGGGTAAAAAGGGGCAAAATCAGGGCTGGGACCCCAAAATTCACAGAGAACCACCCCCCCACAAAGCCTCCTCCCTCACCGCAGCGTGCTCAGAGTCTCCTCGTAGTTGCTGTCAGCCGGGCTCAGCGCCGCGATCATGGCTGTGCGTGAGTTCCCGCCTGGGGGGAGGGGGTTAGTGGGGGGCTGGGAACCCCAAAAAACCTCCTCATTCTCCCCAGCTTCCCTCCAAACCCACCCAGRTTCTCCTTCAGCAGCCAGGTCAGCACTGAATCCCGGTACGGGATGAAATCCGGCTTCTTTTTCTTGTTGGTCTGGTGGGGAAGAGCAAAGAAGAAGAAGAAAGGGGGGTCATGGCAGCTCCCAAGAAAATGGGGAGACCCCCGAGGATGGGGGGACATGGTGGGTACAGGGAGGGGGTGACACACTCCAGACTCACCGCATCAGCCAGAGCYGAGATGACCTTGCCCAGAGTGGTCAGGGACTTGTTGATGTTGGCACCTTCCTGGAGAGAGGGGGTGGAGGGGGTAAAAGGGCCTGGAGGGGCTTTGGGGGAAGTCACCCCCTCTTTTTTTGGGGTGTCACTGCTCACCTTGAGGCGGATGCCTTTAGCCCCTGAAGCGTCAGCACGTTCACTGCCCGCCAGATCCACCAGGCTGATGCGGCTCACCTGGGGGGGGCAGGGGGGTTTGGGGGGATCTAGGAGGGAATTTAGGGGGGAAATGGGGGGGTGAGGGGATTTTGGGGGGAATTTGGGGGACTTCGGGGGGGTTGTGGAATTGTGGGAGTGATTTGAGGGAGTGGAGGGAATTGAGGGGGGAGTTTGCAAGGGTGGAGCGTGGGGGGATTTGGAAGAGGTTTTGGTGGGAATTTGGGGATATTTTTAGGAGCATGGGGGGATTCAGCAGGGATTTTGGGGTAACTTACGGGAACAGTGGATGACTGTTGTTTGAGGGTGATTTTAGGGGGTGGATTCAGGTGGTGATTTTGGAGGTGACTCAGGGGATTGAGGGGTGACTTTAGGGAAGTCTCAGAGTGATGTTGGGACACCCCTGGCCTTCACTGCAGTGAGATCCCTCAGGAGGYTGCAGCAGCACCGGCTGAAGACGACCGCAAATTTTGGGGGCACTTGGGACATTTCAGGGAGTGTTTYCAGAGGAATTCTGGGGTGACCCAAAATTGGGGTGGAGGGGATTTAGGGGCTGATTCTGAGGCAYTCCTGACCTTCTCTGTGGTGAGGTCACTCAGCGGGTCCCGGCGGCGCTGGCTGAAAACGATGGTGAACACGGCGTGCGAGCGGCTGCTCGTCTCGTTCATGTTTGTAGCTGCCACCGTCCTGTGGGGGAGTTTGAGGGGACCCTTGGTGCCTGGGGGTATTTTTGGGGGTGTCAAAGGTGCTGTCCCCATGTCCTTTCCGTGCCCACACCTGGCTTTGTTGCCGCTGTCCATGAGGTCGGCGATGTCGGCGAAGGACGCGACGGCGAGACGCGACAAATCCTGCACGTAGGGCCCGAGCAGGGGGTGCTCCCGCACCCGCAGCCCTCCCCGGCTTTTGGGGTTCAGCAGGTCCCGCACCCGCTCGCAGTAGATCTCCAGGTAGCTCACCTGGGGAGATTGGAGGAGGTGAACCCACAAAATGGTGGCAAAGAAACATCCAAATGGGGGAGAGTGAAAGTGCATCTTTGGGGACGCACCCCCGGATTGGTGGGGATGTTGGAGGGTGAATCCCAAAAGTGGTGACAAGGGAAACCTCCTAACTCTTGGGGCAGGGGGACAGCTGAACCCCCAAAACGCTGGGGTGGGTGGCAGATGAACCYCCCAAATTGCTGTGGGGGATGTGGGGTGAGTCTGTGAGAGCTGAACGTCCAAATTGCCCCGGGGAGAATCTGCAAGCTAGGGGTTCTGCTCTGAACCACCAAACCCCTCTCACCTTCACAGAGAAGGAGAGTTCAGAAAATCCCTTCCCAAATTTCCCTCACCTTCACAGAGAAGGAGAGTTCAGAACACCCTTCCCAAATCCCCCTCACCTTCACAGACAAGGAGAGTTCAGAACACCCTTCCCAAATCCCCCTCACCT